CGGCCCCGCCTCTCGCGGCTGGAGTTCCAAGCGAACGCCTGGGCCTCCCGACCCGCGCCCGCAGAATTCCGGGCGGCCGCCGCCACGCCGGGGAAGCCAGACGAGCGGGTCAGCGGTCAAGGCCGTGGCGGCTCCTCGGCTGCGGCAGGTCAGGCCGAGCGGGCCTGGCTGCCGAGTGAGCCGCGCCGCCCACAGTACCCTCCGGCCGGTCCCACTGTCCCAGGGCTCGGGCGCGGTCCTGCCATCGTCTCGCAAGCCCTTGCCTCTGGGACTCGTCCCCCAAGGGCTCACCTCCCGGCTCCGCGCCCGCAGCCTGCGCTTCAGCTCCAGCTCGGGTTCCGGGACCTCGGAGCACAGCGACTCCCTCACAGCTGCGCTCCACAGCGCAACCGAACTGCGGGCCCCGCCCTCGCGGCGTCCGGCCCAACAGATGGGCGGTGCCGCCGCGCCGCCAGGTTTCCATTGGACGGGGCGGTGAGGGGCGGTGCCCGCACACGGGCGCTCGCAGGGCGGTGCTCAGCCGGGTCTCCTCCCTGTCCGCTGCCGGGGCCGACACATCGCCGAGGGGTGGGTCGTCTCTGTCTCCGGTCTCCGCTGGGGCTCGTCTCTGCCCACCGGTCCTCCCCGTCCAGGTGCCCCCAGTGATTCTGCTGGACGAAGGGAAAGACTTCTCCCTCTTCTCCAAGGCGCCATGACAGTCCTAGTCGCTTGAAAAGACAAAAGGAGCTCTAGACATAGCCTCCAATCCGAGGGGAGCCCATCACCTTTACCAGTGGCGGAGGAGACAGACTGAGCAGGGCACTCATTCATCAGGAAGCTTTAAACACACACAACAAAACAAGATAAGAACACGATACTGAAAATTAATAGTTAACTATTTGCTAAAACTTTGCAAAAGGTTTTCACAGACTGCTGCACTAAAAAGAGTTCGGGTTACCCCACATCATAGATTGTATTTCTGATTTCGGCCCATTCTAGTACAGGTGTATGTGCTTAGTTCTGTATTTTTGATTGATTTTCAGGAATCTCCCTATGTAGATAACACTGGCCTGGAATTCACTATGTAACCCAAGCAGGCCTCCAACTTTTTCTTTTTTTCTTTTTTTTGTCAGTCGTGGGGCCTGAACTCTGGGCCTGGGCACTGTCCCTCAGCTCTTCAAGGCTAGCTAGCACTCTACCACTTGAGCCATAACACCACTTCTGGCTTTTTCTGCTTATGTGGTGCTGAGGAATCAATCCCAGAGCCTCATGCATGCAAGGCAAGCACTCTACCACTGAGCCACCTTCCCAGCCCTGCCCTCAAACTTTTGATCGTCTTGACTCAGTCTCTAGATTGCTGGGCTTATAGGTATGACCATGCCTGGACTCCTGTGGTGTGTGCGTGTGCGTGTACGTGTGCGTGTACGCTGTTACTTGAGTGCAGAGCCTATATGCATTGTACCTTAGCTTTTTCACTTAAGGCTGGCACTCTACCACTTGAGCCACAGATCCACTTTCATCTTTTTTCCTTTTTTTTTTTTTTGTTGTTGTTGGTTATGGAGCTTGAACTCTGGGCCTAGGAACTGTCCCTCAGTTCTTCAGCTCAAGGCGAGCCCTCTACCATCTGAGCCACAGTGCCATTTCCGGTTTTCTGGAGATAAGTCTCACAGACTTTCCTGCCAGGGCTGGCTTTGAACCGAGAGCCTCAGGTCTCAGTCTTCTGAATAGTTAGGATTATAGGTGTGAGCCACCAGCGCCAAGATTGTTTGTTTGTTTATTGTGCTTATGTGGAGATGAGTCTCATGTACTTTATTGTCTGAGCTGGCTTCAGAACTCTATCCTCAGATCTCAGACTCCTGAGCAGCACACAGATGTGATAAGTAGTTTAGATTACAGGCATGAGCCACCAGAACCCAGTTTACGGTTTTAAGAGGAGACAAATACATGATATTGTGAAATTTTATGAAGTATTTGATCAATTTAAGAGTGAAAGTTTGAAATAAGAGGAGAGTTTCAGGCTGATGAAGGGTTCCCTATAAGTACTAGAAAGGAACTAGTTGAAAGAGAAAGGCTCATGCCTCCGAAAAAAAGATTAGTTTTTAAAATAAATGTTGTAAGGTGAAGAAATGAGAAAATGAGTTTCTGTGAAGTTTCTTCTTTATCTAAGTCAGATTTCGAGATTTCTCCCTTTAAGAGCAATGAAATTTGGCAATTATGACTCCCAAGTTCAGTTGATTGATTGATCCTTTTTCCTCCATAATATATGTCTAATGGCAATGAATTTCCATCAGCCAGTTTTGTCTTTAGTTTTCAATGAGTCACCCAGAATCTATCACCTTTATGTATATGCATGTGCATGGGTCCTACGGTTTGAACTTGTGGAAGCTGTCCCTGTGTTCTACCACTTGAACCACAGCTCCACTTAGGTGTTTTTTTTGTTTTTGTTTTTTTTTTAAAGTATTAATTGGAGATAATAATCTCATGGGCTGTCCTGCCCAGGCTGGCTTCAAACAGCCATTCTCAGATCTCAGTCTACTGAATAGTTAGGATTACAAGTGTGAGCCACCAGTGTTCTACCACAATCTATTATCTTCTTCATTTTTTTAAAATTTTTTTGTCAGTCCTGGGGCATAAACTCTGTGTCTGGGCGCTATCCATCAACTCTCCAGCTCAAGGTTAGTGTTCTACCACTTGAGCCACAATGCCACTTCTGGTTTTCTGAGTGGTTTATTGGAGATAAGAGTCTCATGGAGTTTCCTACCAGGGCTGGCTTTGAACCTTGATCCTCAGATCTCAGCCTCCTGAGTACCTAGGATTACAGGTGTGAGCCACTGATGTGCAGCTTCTATAATCTTTTATTTCAACTTTTTCACAACCAATCTAAATTCCTTCCAAACATCTTTTAAAGGAAACCTTTTAACGATTTAAGATTTTTGTGGGTCGTGGGGCCTGAACTCTGGACCTTGGGTAGTGTCCATCAGCTCTTCAGCTCAAGGCTAAAGCTCTACTATTTGAGCCACAGCGCCACTTCCAGTTTTCTGGTGGTTAATTGGATATAAGAGTCTCACAAATTTTCCTATCAGGGCTGGTTTTGAACTGCAATCCTCAGATCTCAGCCTCTTGAGTAGCTAGGATTACAAGCATGAGCCACCAGTGCCTGGCAGTAATTGGAAAATTTATTGCATTTTTGCTCAAAGTTTTCTTTCTCAGTTAGAGACCATTACCATATCTCTAATCATATTATTCCTCTATGGATAGAATGGAAAGAAAGAGAAAGAAAGACAGACAGAAAGAGGAAGAAGGAAGAAAGAAAGAAGGAAGGAAGGAAGGAGGGAAGGAAAAAGCAAGCAAGCAAGGAAGCAGGCAAGCTGGGAATGTAGGTTAGTGGGAGAGTGCTTGCCTAGCAGGCATGAGACGCTGTGTTCAATTCCTCAGTAGCACATAAGCAGAAAAAGCCAGACGTGGTGCTGTGGCTCAAAGTGGTAGAGTGCTAGCCTTGAGTAAATCCTACATGATTTCTGAGGTCAGTCCCCAGGACTCGCAAAAAAAAAAAAAAGAGAGAAGAAAAGAAAAAGAAAGAAAGAGGGGCTGGGAAGGTGGCTCAGTGGCAGAGTGCTTGCCTTGCATGCATGAGGCCCTGAGTTCAATTCCTCAGCACCACATAAGAAAAAAGAAAAAAGCTGGAAGTGGCGCTGTGGCTCAAGTGGTAGAGAGCTAGCCTTGAGCTGAAGAGCTGAGGGACAGCACCCAGGCCCAGAGTTCAGGCCCCACAACCAACAAGAAAAAAAATGAAAGAAAGGAAGAGAGGCAGGGAGGGAGGAAGAAAGAGGGAGGGAGGGAGGGAGGGAGGAAGGAAGAATGAAAGAGAAAAAAGAGAGGGCTGGGAATGTAGCTTAATGGTAGAGTGCTTGGCTAGCACGCATGAAGCCCTGGGTTCCATTCCTTAGTACCACAGAAAAAGTCAGAATGGAAGTGGTAGACTGCTATTCTTTTTTTTTGGGGGGGGGGTCCAGTCATGGGGCCTGAACTCTGGGCCTGGGCCCTGTCCCTCAGCTCTTCAGCTCAAGGCTAGCGCTCTACCACTTGAGCCACAGTGCCACTTCTGGCTTTTTTCACTTTGCTTATGTGGTGCTGAGGAATCGAACCCAGGGCCTCAGGCATGCAAGGCAAGCGCTCTACCACTGAGCCACCTTCCCAGCCCTAGACTGCTATTCTTGAGCTAAAGAAGCTCAGGGACAGTGCCTAATCCCTGATTCAAGCCTCAAGACAGGGGACAGAGGGAGAGAGGGGGAGAGAGAAAGGGAGAGGGGGAGTGGAGGGGGGGAAGAAAGAGAGAATAACCAATCCTTTCAGGGTTGGAGGTGTGGCTCTGTTGGTATTATGCTAGCCAAGGAGTGAAAGCATCAGATACTGAGTTGGAGTCCCAGTCTTGGATCTAAATAAAGAATGTGGACCCTATCTTCCAATAGTATCTTAAACTGAAGACATAATTAAGATGTCACTTTGCTTAAAGCTTTGTCTCTCAGTGTATCTCTGTCTCCTCACCCCCTCCCCCACCATTTCTTCCTTGCTGAGGATCAAACCCAGGGCTTCATGCATGCTATAGACTTTTGGGGATTATTTACAATTCTGTAAGACCTCACACTAAGAGGAGTTTCCATTTCTTGATATCAATTATCTGACTTGTTCTAAAACATACACAATCCAGGACCCTCCTTAGATCAACTGCTTGTGAATCTTGGGGTTCACAGAGGGATGAAACTTGGGTTTCTCTATATCTAAGAATTTTCCAGGTGATTCTGATGTGGTATTCTGATTTCTGGCCTGTGTGGTAGCCATCACCTTAACCCATATTCTGCACCTTCCTAAGGATGAGCCATTCCCTTGAGACATTGCCTCACACTCAGCCTCTGAGCTTCACTTTTTTTTTTCTTTTCTTTTTTTGCCAGTCCTGAGCTTGAATTCAGGGCTTGGGCGCTGTCCCTGAGCTTCTTTTGCTCAAGGCTAGCACTCTACCACTTGAGCCACAGTGCCACTTCTGGATATTTCTGGGGTTTTTTTGTTTTTGTTTTTTTTTTCCAGTCATGGGGCTTGAACTCTGGGCTTCGGCACTGTCCCTGTGCTCTTCAGCTCAAGGCTAGCGCTCTACCAGTTGAGCCATAGCTCCACTTCCGGTTTTCTAGTTGTTTATTGGAGATGAGAGTCTCACAGACTTTCCTGCCAGGGATGGCTTTGAACTGCGATCCTCAGATCTCAGCCTCCTGAGTAGCTAGGATTACAGGCATAAGCCACCAGCACCCTGCTTCTGGCTTTTTCTGTTTATGTGGTACTGAGGAATCCAACCCAGAGCTTCCTGCGCACTAGGCAAGCACTCTACCACCAAGCCACATTCCTAGCCTGAGCTTCACTTT